CGAGCTTATGCAAGCTGATAAAATCTGATTCATAATAAGATTTTCATAATCTTTGTCTGTCCTTCACACTATTTATGTATAACGAGGAGTGTCATTGTAGGCATCTCTATGTATTTCTTTTTATATAAGGGGCGTTGTGTAAGCGATTGTTTAGAAAAATACTATTTTCTCTTTCCCTCTGCACATTTCGTGTATTAGCCCTCTGATCTATCATGTGAGCATAAGGTCCTTTTAGGCATACCCAGCAACCCAATATTTCACTATCCAATCCGCGTTTTGAGGATCGTCCTCTCGTGTCGGTCTCGCGGTTTTGTGAACTTTATAAAGTAATATTTATTGATGATAATAAAAATATAGTTAATTACGGACTGAGGATTTCACAACAAAACGTCCATCATCTTAAAGATATACATCATGAGTAAACCCCCACATTATCTGAAACAGGCTCTGCAAATATTTTTGCGGCGTTTTTATCCTCGATAGGCACGTCATGAGTGATTTGGAAGAGCCTCACACAAATTTCTGATTTTGAAGCTAATTTAAATAACTATGCGTTCCTGACACATACAACTTCTGAAACATATAGAAGTCTGCTATTACCTCTTTTATATGGTGAACATAGCTTTCATGGGTCTGTGAGTTGGACAAAAACAAAGTACACATGGGCGCTTAGCGGACCTATGACGATTGCGCACGCAAACCGTCAGAAAGTGTACAATAAAGTAGCTTCCATGTTGAGTAGCGCATTAAATACTACTTCGTTTTATTTACACAAAAATCATCGATTAGCAAGGATGAAACTTGTTTGCAAATTGAACTGACCGCATCTTGTCAAGGACAGGACTCAACAGCCAGGCTATGCCAGCTATGCCAATTTATCTTGTATAAGAAAATGTTTACATGGGCAAGGGCTATTTTAGGGCAGATTCGATCCGGGTGCGAAGACACTTATAGAGTAGATTGGACAGTTTCGATCACTCATTCCTGCATTATTCGTCGCCTGTGTCAGCGTCAAGCGCCTTCCGCGCGGAGAGCCACCTTGCCTGCCAGACGGAGACCCAGACAATCGACCAAAAATTTCGTCCAGCCCGGGCTTTCCCATTGCACCTCCGTGGAGCCCCCAGAATCGGGCCCCCCGGTTTACGTGACCCGGGCGGGATTCCGAGGCGAGAGGAGCAGGGCGTCGGGTTACGTCTCACCGAGGAGAAGCCCCTTCGCAACAGAGACGACTCCGGGACGCCGTACGATACGGACGGGACGACCGCTCTTTCTTCCGACATAATGTAACCTTGTGTAACCGATTGTAATCCCAGTTAATAAACGTCCGGTTAATTTTAAATCAACCCCAGTCTACGCCTTAAACTTACGATCACCTACAAACTCCCAAAAACCCAACGGATAACCTGACACCTGCATTATGGTGCTGAGTGTAAACAATGATCGGTTAGAAAAACAAGCATTCTGATTGCCGCTCAGTGTTTCTGTAAAGGATAGAGTGAAGCTTGAGCTCATACTTTCATGACATTTTGGAAATTGTATTGCTTTTAGCTCATGACGAAAATAATCCCTGGAGAAGGTGAACAAGAGGGACAAAGGACAAACCCAAATCTCCAAACACAGCTAGTCGACTGGTGCACGACCGAAAAAATCCACCTGGTCCTGGTATTGAACCAGTGACCTCTCCATTTCCAGTGGAGAGGTCCTTTGTTTCTCTTGTTCCCCTTCTCCGGGAATTATTTTCGACATTCTTGTCCAGCTCGCTTGCACATTTGCATTGAATTGCATTATAATCTTTTAGCTCACTTGTGTCGTCATAATATGTATATATTATGTAACGTATTTCATAAACCATAGTTCATGATATATGTGGCGACATAACTTTTAATACTGCGACGCAAAGTTGTACCAATCACGGGCATTTTATGTGACCTACCACACTTCGCCTACAACATTTTGATACTTCTAAATATATCAGCTTGAAATTTAGAACTATACTTAAATATGAAGGAGGAAAGGAAAGGAGAGAACAGTAAGGCTCTAAAATTCAAGCTGATTTATTTACAAGTATGTACGGAAAAGCTCAACTCTTTACTGTGACTTACACATTTTGAGTCAGGTAAAATATATGTTACCGGTAAATAACGGGGTTTTGAGCTGTATTAACACTACGTTCTGTCTGTTAATGTAGATTTTCCTTTACTGTTGCGTTGAAATTAAATAACAAAATATGTTTTTGGCAGCTTAAAATAAAAGTGGATTGTACGAACGATAGGAAAAACTATATATAGAAATTCGTTTCACGGTGTAAATAGTGTCTATCGCCAGAACAGAGCAGAAAATATATTCTCAATTTAGTGGTTTAAACCGGTTCGAACCAGTTCAAACCGGTTTGAACCGTTATTTTTGGCTTCCCGGAACTGAACCGGAACTGAACCGAAAGCCGTGAACCCGAACCCGAACCGAACCGATAAACATTTCGGTTCGACACTGCTGAAATCTCCCACAGCACGTGTGCGAAAAATAATTGCAGTGCTCCTGGTGAGCCTGGACAGGGTCTCTACCAACCTGGAAAATAGGGAAAACAGGGAATTGTCAGTGGATTTGGTGATTCGGGAAAAGTCGGGAAATTTCCACCCAAATCAGCCTCGGTCAGGGAAATTGGGATTTACGTTCTCTGAGCAACTACAAATAATGCATATGTGGTGTGACATATTGCATGCGACTCAGCTGGCATGCCAATGCAAATTTCTTCTTGAAAACTTGAGTCTAGGCGGATTGCATCCTTTTTAAATGTGCTCATCAAGACAAACTTCTCTCCTTGGGCTCGCACTTTAAAACGGGACATTTATTTAGCAAGACATACTGAAGAATACACTGAGAAGGCAATAGCGTGCTTGGTCACCAGGGCACGGTGACCAAGCACACTATTGCTGTCAGTTATACCTGTGTTTTCCACATCAAAACTGCACTTCAAACACATCATGTCCCCTTAGGGTTTGATCGGGAAATATATTTATAGAATAGTCAGGAAAAACCTGGGAAAGTTGGGGGATTTGAAAACACTATTTAGGTAGACACCTTGCTGGAGTCTCCGATAGCAGACAAACTCTTTAAAGCAAATTGGTAAAATGGCCCCCCTCAAAAAAAAACAAAAAAAAAAAAACGCATTATTATAAGGTTTTTTTGTTGCCTTCAATGTTAATAAGACATCTACAGCAGTGACTTTCAACCACTCATGTTTTGGGGACCCCTTCTGGATCAGTAGAAGTAATGGGACACCCCATTCGCTAGTGGGGAGGGTGGGTATTGGATGATTACAATGACAAAGGGGTAAATGAAGAAAACGAGTCAGTGACAGATTCGCCCCGAGCGAGTGCACGATTGACTCTCTTCCACTTTCCTACCTTTAAAATTACTATAAGATGATGACGAAGAATACTAAATGTGTATAAACCAACTTCGAAGCTCCGAAACGGAGAATAATCAACCCTACTGACTGGGCACACGTGGTTTGGTCTTTTTGGCTTTATGGAACAACCAGCATTAATGAAAAGGCTCAAGGTACACCTAAGCACTTATGAGTTGTGAATGCAAAAGCATGCTCGTCAGGGGTTTCCCCAGGAATTGAAATTAGGGGGGATGTCTAAATTTTTAGGGTGGGGGCATTGAGAATAGAAGAGTGTGCGAATTAAAGGGGGGGCCTTCAGAAAAACAAGAGGGGTGTACATCCCCCCTAGGGGGTGTGGAGGGAAATCTCTGATGCTCATCATTCTTCCGCTTCCTTGTTTCGTCTGCGGCGCGTTTGCGTTGGCCGAGCGTGCGCTTTCCCACCTCCTCGCCGCTCCGACCTTGGACGCTTCATGTTACCGGCGCGCTCGCGGCGCGGACATGCAGCACCATCGGGTGGCGGCCGTTGAAACTGACGCGCAGCGGCCAAGGGGAGCCTTGTTCCTTGAAACTATGACTCGCGCTAGCCAATGGGGGCGAAGCCTAAATCCATCGGCTTCACCCCGCTCCTTTAGAATCGGGGTAACCAGGTGCCACTTGGCTAGGCTTTTCGCGTGGTTTTAAAGTTGGGAGATAGCGGCTTCACTTGGAGGAAGGAGTTTAGGTGCCATTTGGCGCGGCTTCAAAGCTGATAACGTCTGCTCGCTCCATAAAACAATTAATGCTTTCACATTAAAAAAAAAGTTTTATTGCTTGGCTTGATTGATGGTTGAGAGCTTTGGGGACTCCAAGAAGGCCTTCCGAGGCCCCAAAAGGTCTGCAGGTCCCCATTTGAGAACCACTGATCTACAGTTGCATCAATGAAGGACATATATATGGGTGTTTTCATTTCAAATCGTGCAGGAAAAAGGGGTTATGTCTCAAAAACTTTTGAATAAAATATATATGCTGGGAAACTTCTTCACTAAGATGAAACTGAAAGCCATTTTGCATCATATTTTAGTTCTTGTATTTTTTACTTCTGAAGGACCAAAGGTGAACTTTGGGATTTGGGCAATCGTCGTTTAATAAATGAATAGATGTCTTTCTGCATGTGCTATAATTTGCTTGTCACTGCGGTTGGGGTCATGATTGCAGTTGTGGTCGTTTCGGTTGCGGTTGTGGGAAAGTGTGGCTCGCAAAGCTTGAGAATGCCGCGAAGCCTATGCAGTACTGTCGAGACCGGTTATAACGAAGTCAATGGGAATAGAAAAGCACTTCGCTATATCTGCTATTTTGTTATAACTGACTTAGGTTATAACGAAGTGCTAAAGTGAATGGGAAATCGTGATTGCTTCGCTGTAGCCGCTATTTCGTTTTAACCGACTTCGCTATAACCGGTCTCGACAGTACTTCATTGTGTCGTCTGCTTGTTAAGACTCCTAATCTGCTAGGGGCACTACTGCAACCGTTTGCCGTCGCTCTCATTGGCTTTTAGAGGAGTTTTCTGTATTGACGAAGCTAGATAGTGTTTTGGTTTAACAATATGCAGCATTCGTGTTTATGATTTTCAGGTCGCTTGATAAGGGGCATAACAACAATTAATGCGACAGTGAATGCAACCTCAACTGCATCAGGGGACCAAACGCCAGTATGCCACCATGAAGGAACACCCCCACTTGACTTGGACCTCACTGGTATTTCTCTTTCCGGATGAATTACTTGGTAGAATTTTGTGTATCTTGGTCTTGTAGTGCAGTTTGGGTTTGACCACATTTCAGCAGAGCCACTCTTCATTTTTTTCAGGAAAACCTTTTACTACATCGGCATCTTCACTATACTCTGTTGCAGCTAAGTTACAAAAAGCAGGACAAGCTTCTCCCGCCAAGTCCCCCACTCGTTCCACTTTAGCAGAGGGAATGCTGGAGAGGAGGCAAGTTCACTCACCTCCTTTCCAGCGTTCGCCCTGCTGAAGTTGAAAGAGTGGAGGGCTTTGCGGCAGGCATGCACATAGCCAGGGGAGGGGGGGGCCATGGGGCCCGGCCCCCCCCTGAAATCTTCTATTTTGCTGGGGCCTCCTCTCCCCCTCCCCCTCATACAGCATTTTGTCATGGGCATGCACGTAGCCAGGGGGGGGGGGGGGCCCTTTGGGGCCCGGCCCCCTCTGAAATCTTCTATTTTGCTGGGGCCTCCCCCCCCCCCTTGAAACAAAATCCTGGCTACATGCCTGGCAGCAGGGGCTTGTCTTGCATTTCTTAACCTGCAATAGAGTGTACCAGTGCACGTCTGAAAAGCATGTAAAAATGTTACAAATTTACTTCAGCTTTACTTCACTATATTAATATTTTCGTACTGCTGGAAATTAGAAGCTTATCCACATTAGAACACACGGTTGGGCTCAGTGAGTTTTAATGGGCTGTATAGCAGCAATGTTTGTAACTCAACATTTGTTTCTTGGTGATCAGCTTGGGTATAATCTGCACAGAAGTTGCACTTCGGAGAAAGAGGCAGTTTTCTTTCATAGGTGAAGCCAACTTGGAGGGAGAACCTACGTACCAATGTGCGGCTCTGATGTCGCACTGCTGCGGCAGCCGTAATGTCGGCGCGGCATGTGCGCAGTCGCTCCCTTTCACACGTATCTGGCTTCTGTGCACGCGCAGTGCCCACACCTAATGTGCGCAAACGTGGACTTGTTCATAAACAGCGTGTTGGTTTATAACCAAGCATTTAGGAGGACTTGTGTGCATGGTGCCATCAATGTGTACAGCTGAGCTTTTGCTCACTCCTGCCAGAAAGAAACACTGCAGAGAAACCCTTGGAATGGAATACTGTATGATGCTGATGAGGCCAATTGTAGGGAGGTCTGAAGCAATCTTAAAGCTTGAAAATCCACTTGTACCTAGAGGTCTGCATGGGTACGGGCCAGCCCGCAGGCCACGGGCCGGGCTCGGGCTTCACGGCTACATTCATGAAGCTCCCGGGCCGGGCACGGGCCTTGCTTTCAAGTCTACAAGGCAGGCCAAGGCGGGCCAAGCCGGCAGTTACTTCTTTTTTTTTTTTTTTTAGCAGCAATTTTTTTAAAGTGTTTTTGGTGTTTGAGAGAGAAGGACCATAGTGGGTGGAGATCAAATGCTGAAAGCATGTGTGTGTGTTTGTATACGTTTTCGTACAGTTCGGTGTGTGTGCAGCAAATTCTCTTCCAGAGCTCTGGCGACGCAGCGGACATTTTCGTCACTGGCGGCGCTGCCGTCGTGCAGAGTCGCTTCTCCTCTTTAACACACATGCATGCGCCTACACAATGTGCACACTCAAAGGCGTAAACCATATACTATGCGTACGAGTGTGCATCCACAATATGGGTGAAGAGGTTCCCCTGAGGGGTGCTTTTTCGAAACAATTTCTCGCAAACAAGCGCAAAAGACGAGGTTTTTTTGGTTGTACACAGTGGGAGTTGGCAATTTAGAACTTTGCCCGTCTTTTGTCCGAATCTGTCATGACATTTCCCTTTCTTTTCAACTTTGACATATGGTTTTGTTTGCTGCTACTTGTCATTTTTATTTTTTTCGTCCTTTCCGATATGCGGGTTTGGTCGCAAGAAAGGACGATGGGGGCGATTTTTCTTAGCGAGCTGCATAGGCCCGCAGATTCGTCCGACTAATAAAGGACAGCAAAATTAAAAAAAGGATGCTTACTGCATTGACTGTACCGTATCAACATGTGCAGCAGTGGCAAGTGAGCTGTCATGCAGTGCTATTTGTGAGCTACTCGTACTAGGAGAAAATGTAGCGGGCCTCAGCGGGCCTGTGAAAATCAGCGTCAGCCGGGCCGGGCTGGGCCGGCTGTCAGAAATGGATAGCGGGCCGTGGACGGGCCGGGGCCCAAGAGACAGCGGGCGGGGCTGGACCGGGCCCCTAGATATCGGCCCATGCAAACATGTACCAATGTGCAGATTGGGTGTACGTTCTGGAGACATACAAAATAACTATGGAATATGATTTACAGAGGGTGATGCATCACCCTCTGATTCCATACAGAGGCTGATGCATCACCCTCTGTATGGAAAGGGCAGTTGTAAATCGGCTGGAATTGTTTTGTTACCTGGGGTGCTTCCACTGTTCATGCTGGTCGTGAACGCCAAATATTTTTAATGAGCTGACTGGAGGAGAACCAGCAGGAATAAAAGGGAAATGGTACTCTAAATTGTGTATGTAGCTTTGTTGCTTTCTAGATATCTACATGAAATGTTTTATGCTTAGAGGGTTATAGCTCCTATTTTTGTTTCTACTCATTGGTGCTCATATCACACTGTTCAAGATGCACGTAGCTACTCGCTGCCCATTTTTTTAAATTCATGTACATTCAATTTGGCATGAGAATACTTATAATTTTTGTCTATTTCTACCGTAAAATACCTGGGGAGCGCCCACCCCGCTTTCACTGAAAACTAGATTAGTCTAGACATGGGCACTTGTCCGGTCAAATCAGGCACTTAAAGGGGTACTCCGCCGTTTTCTTCATAGTCCCCGATTTGCCTAAAAGCTTGCTAGAGACACCAACAAACATCGCTGAACTAGTAACCCAAATATTTGGACAAAATAATGTTTTTTTGTGCAGTTACAGAATTTACAATTTTGGACCTCATCGTGTTTTTCAAAGTGAAAAGCTCTACGGGCAACATTGAAAAAGTGACGTCATGGTTGGGTAGGAGTTCACTCTTTAAGCTGTAGACTTTGTTCACATCTGATTACAAACAGTTTCATGGTGTCAAATGAATGCTTTGGAAGGTCGCTCCAGCCCCCGCGCAGCAGCAGGATACAAATGCTCGGCATAGTTCATATTTAGACTGCCTGCTCGAACTGCAATCCAGCCCAACCGTGACGTCAGGGCAATGAAAAGCGCGGGTATATTCGAATCTTCGTTTTGGCGTCGTTTTCATTTGCCGATTTCACAAAAACTATTCTGAATTTCGCGATACTAAATAGCACACCGAAAAGAGTAACGGACGGCGATTTCGAATATATGGTTAGTTGGGGTTGCTCAAAATATCGCCGGAGTTCCCCTTTAAAGGGCAACTCCACTCCATTTTTACAATTTTTGGGTTATGATCTGTTTAGTCGAAGCCGGCGGCCCTGAATCACGAGATATAATTTGTTTTTCGGTAGTGTGTATAGTTTTGTAGATATCGCGAATCCAAGTATCGTTCCGGCGGCGCGGCGAAACCGAAACTAGGGGTTGAAGCAACTTGGCAACACTGATACTAGTGGCGCGTCGTCGGCATGACCTAGTTCTTGTCCCGCGCTTCTGAGCCGACGCGCCGACAAGGTTGGCTCAATCGCACGTGGAGTTTCAAAAACAGAAGGTTAGAAGCACGTTTTCTTTTTTTACCGCTTCACTTTGTTAATATGCACCAAATGTAGTAGGTTTTAGTGTGTATTTATAAATTTGCTGGCCGAAAAGCGAATTCGACTGCTATAAATATGACGCGGTCGGTGCCGGCGCAGCGTGACTGTATGTGTTTCTTGCTCGCGGACCGAGAGAAAACGAAATAATGGGAGATAGATGGACAGATCTATCCACAAGTGGTCTAAGTTGCTAAGCTAAGGTGCCTTTATGTGTACTCTAGTTAGATCAGCCGCTACCTGCTGCGTCCGGTCGATCGTGCTGGAGCAGCCGGCGGACGGTACGCGAACAGCGACGGCACCGCATCGTTCTTCAAAGACGCCCGTTTCGTGGAGAAACCCGCAACAGTCAGCAGCCGCAGATCCCGTGTGTAGGTGTCTGACGTAAAGTGCTGGGAGCAGAGCTTCGCGTTGGAGCTCGGAGTCAACGGTCTTCCGAAGTTTATCGGGCGAACGGCACCGACCCACACCTTGTGCCTCTTCCGGTCTCTTGGGAACTGGTGGAACCGCAGCTCCGGGTTGCGCACCGGGTTTTTGGTGCAACACAGAGCACTACAAATCCTGCTCGACATTGCCCAACGCGAGTCTGGCGAATCTCTCCGGCTCCACGACGCGCGCGTGAGCGAGCGGCACCGCTTTGCTCTCTTCCGCGCTGTCGCGGAAGCAATGCTGGAGTTAAAGGAACTGCCTGGAGGATAATAAAAATAGGGAAACACAGGATAATGTGGTAAACACCTCGTGCCGTCAGCAGAATCGCAGAATGCCACGGGAAACGAAGCGCTCGCGGCGTCCGTACGAGAGCGTAGGACTAGAACTACGTCATTGCCCAGTGTTGCTTCACTAGCTCACCCGGTGCCAGCGTTGCTCACCCGCTTTCGGGCCGCTAACCGAGCCGGGAGAACATTTTTAATTTTTTAATATTGGTTTTAATCGCTAACGCGGCGTCGGTTTGACGTGATATTTTGGGTATGACCGTATTTTGGCCTCCTAAAGCGATATCAGTCATTTCGATAGGGTCGACTTTTTGAGTGGAGTTGCCCTTTAACAAAATTGCTGTATTCCCAAATTTGGAACACGTTAATTGTGGGCGCTTGAACGAAGTGGGCATTTCCTTGGTATTTTATGGTATATTCAGATTGTGGATTTGTGGGGAACTTTCTTTTTAAAGTTTTATCGAAGGAACCTAATGTGCTCATTAGTTCATGCATGGAAATAAATGAGATTTCAGGTCATTTTTCCAGCAGAGTGCTATATCAGTGTTTACTATAAGAGAGGTTCTACTTTATTGTGTCTGATTTCAGTTGACATCATTTGAAAATTTATTTTGAACTGCCATCTAAGAAACAATGTGGCTTTCTCATGACTGGATTTTCTCATACTGCCGTAATGTTGACCATTTTGAAGGCACTTTCAAAGGTGCTTTTCCTGAAGGGTCTTCTATTACACTTCAGGCACTTTTCTTTAAAGGAAAGGCAAAAGTCATCTCATCGTAACATTTACTTTGTTATCCTGACGAAAAAAGGAGATGAATAAAAATAATGATAACATGCAGAATGCCCCCCTCCCGCCAACACTGCCACATGATGCAGCAATCACAGACTTCCCACACTGATCCCACAACTTAGTTGCGATTAAGGAGTTGGGACATGACCAGTCAAATGGTAATTACTAGGATTGCACGATGGCATTAAAGTTAGGAGTCATGACTCATGTCACATCCTTGATACATGCTTTTACACAGGTTGGACTTTGCAGGATGATTTACTTGGGAGGTTAAAAGGACCTGTTTGTTTGGGTTGTTCTTCGCTTGTGAGGTAATCCTGACCTGCCCACAAAAAAGTGTGCCAGCGTGCGCCTTGTTGTACAGGATGCGGCCACAGTGTTTCAGCACTCTATGACATGGTGCTACACAAAGGTCTTTTTGTTTTCTAGAGTATCCGCGTATCAATCGAAGGCACGCAAGGCGCGGCAGCATTATCTGGTCCTAACCTGTTCCCCTAGCGGGCCTCGATGGATCTCGTCAGTGAGTGGGCACATGACAGATACGCCACTAGAGGCGCCGGCTGCCAGCGCAGTGGCTATTCATGGGTGATCCGAGAATGCGCCTCATTTCGACGATGTCACAACAGCAGTCCGTGCTAAAAAACGCCCTTGTGCTTCCGTGCCTAGATAGGCAAGCTGTGATCGCAGTTTGGGTCGCAGAAATGTCTTTGTTGAGCACCCCCAACAGCAAAGTGATGGGCTTCATCGGTGACAGGATCTCCCATAGGGAGCCATTCTGTGGGCAAGTCGAGATTACAGTAGGTCGTGGTTTAAACATACTCTTGTAACCCCACCTAAACTTGTTCTGTCCAGTGCTGCTCGAAGGGATGCAGTCGACGAGGGTTGACGAGCCGTCCGTTCGAGAAGAAACTCTCAGGGGCACACCTGGGCATTGCCCCCCTGAACTTTCTTTCAGGCAAGTCTGAGTACATTGCTTGTTTTGCACATGTTTAATTAAGAACATGTGTATGCAGAATACCTTAAAGCTAGGTAATATAGGAAGCTTGCACCGATGCATCTGCAGCGGTTGGGAGACCACTGCACATGTACATCAGCGAGATTTTTGCCCAGTGCATACCGTATTTACTCGCAGAATGAACGCACTTTTTTTTCCGAAAAATCGATGCAAAGTTAGGGGGGGGCGTTCATTACGCGAAGTAAAATTTTTGCGTCGGTTATTTACTCGCATAATGAACGGACCTTTTATCCTGAAAAATCGAAGTAACTTCTTATCTCTCTGCGCGCGGCGCCCTACCCCATAACCAAACTAAACCGTGCAAAAAAAAAAAAAAAAAAAAAAAAAAAGCTTTTTTTGTTTTTTAGTTTCTTGGGTTTTTTTTTTTTTTTTGTTGCCGCCTTTGCAAGCTGTTTTGTTTACTTAGGCGCTGCTTAGGCGTTGCTTTGGCGAGGGCTCTCCGCTTATCTTTCTTATCTCCTTGCGCGCGGCGCGCGACGCACGACCCCCCGTAACCAAACTGGGCCATGCAAAGAAGAAAAAAAAAGCTCCTCTTTTTCTTGTTTTTTTTCTCAGTTCCGTGGGTTGTTTTTCTTTTTGTTTCTTTTTGCCGCCTTTCGCAAGCTGTTTCGTTTGCTTAGAGCGCTTCGCCGCTCCTCTTTGTTACCTCCTTGCGCGGGGCGCACGACCCCCCATAACCAAACTGCGTTGTGCAAAAAAAAAGAAGAAAAAAAAAGCTCGTTTATTTTTGTTTTTTTTTAGTTCCGTGGATTTCTTTTCTTTCTTTTTGCCGCCTTTCGCAAGCTGTTTCGTTCGCTTAGAGCGCTTCTCCGCTTCTCTTTCTTACCTCCTTGCGCGGGGCGGCACGCGAACCCAAAGTCCAGACTGCGCTGTTCAAAAAAAAAAAAAGCTCTTCTCGCATGTTTTTTTTCTTGCTTCCGTTGGATCTTTGCGAATTTTTTTAACGTCTTTTGCAAGGCGTTTTGTTCGACCACGCTGCCCATGCATTCGCGACCTCGCTGACCTCGCTGCACCAGGATAGAAAAGTGCGTTCACTTCGCGCGCGTGGGAGGAGGGGGTCAAAATTTTGACCTCCGCGTTGGGGGTGCGTTTATTACGCGAGTGAAAAAAAAAAAATGTCGAAATTTCGACAGCCGACTTGGGAGGTGCGTTCATTACGCGAGTGCGTTCATTGTGCGAGTAAATACGGTATACATTGCTCATGCACTTTATGCTATTTCATCTGCAGTGCCTTGTGTGTTTAAGTTACATGCAATGTGCAGGGGCGGACGCAGGTATTTTGAAAGAAGGGGGTCAGCGGGTCATATATTTAATAACCCCCCCCCCCCCCCCCCCACAGTTTCCCGGCCCTGCATTTTTACATATGCACAATTCAAGAGGGGGGTCAGGACATCAGGACCCCCCCTATTGAATGTGTACTGCTTTTGCAGGTATTTAGCATAAATGAATGTGCAAACTACGATTCGGTGGATGAATACTTCAGTAAAAATGCCACCGAGAACAAGATGTGATTGACATATTGTTTGTCCAGTCCAATCATATTTTCTGTGTAGACAGCTGGAAGTTTTTCGGGCTCAAGGGGCATCTTGTGTCTCCACTGTAGACTAGATTTTTCCAGTGCAGTACGACTGCTAACCCCGAGGCTTTTCAACTTGCATCAAGCAGTAGCAACATGTGACTGCATACTGGTACAGTGCCTATCTAAATCGAAACGAGCAGGCATGATGAGTATTGTATTTGGCATGCCTTGGTTCTGCTCTGCGAGCTTTTGCTCCAAATGCTGCGAGCTACAGTGCCCGAACCCTCGGTTGTCAATCCCCTTTTGTTTGCCTAACTGTATGCAAATCTGCAGCTATTCTGTTCAGGGGTCAATCTGTCTCCGAGTCTTTTATGGACAACGTCTTTCTTCACACAGTACAGTTCACCATTCCATATAGCACAGATGCCTTGTAGTTCTGTTTTCCATATTTCACTCTTTCAGGGTTTCTTGTTCGATTCAAAGCTTTTACACATTCTCTTTTACCTTTCCCACTCTAACAGACTCAGTAAGCGACATATTTTAAGCGCATGTGTCCTGCGATTTGTTGCTCTAATTTACACCTTGTGAAACCGTTTACTTAGGGCTCTACACAGAAATGTGCCGGAAATATTGAGTAGAGTCAAGGACAGCAATCGCCTCGCTGGACAGGGCATCGACTCAACTGCTTCAGACGCCGGCTGGAAACATGCCCTCCAGCGCTCGCTCTGGCTGTCTGACGTAAGCAAGGAATTCGAGCATTTCTGCTTAGTCTTTCTCGCATTGTTCCTTTTGCACTACCATCTCTCCACCGATTGCAGAGGAACTCCTTCAGGGGTGCATCGAGAGGAGATGGCTGGATACAGAACAACAGCACTATTCACACACTTGTCGGCGAAATTGAAGCAATTGTTACGGAATTGTGCTCTGGCTCCAAAGTGCTTGAGGTGCCTATTACTTTTCTTTGCTGCTTGCCCCATCTCCAGAAGCCTTTCGCCTTTTGTAGCGATTGCATTTTTGTTTGGATGTCCGGTCAGGGAAAGGAGGAGGTGACTGCAGCTGCGGAGAGACTGTCCCAGGCAGGAAGAAGGCTCTCAGACGAAATTGTGGTCATGTGTTCTCATCTGGAGTCAGTCAAGGAAAACCACAAGTGGGTAGTCTTAGCAGTTCTGTGTCCTTGTTGGAGGTGACGAATGCGGAACTTGTAAAAGGCTTCCACATATGTCGCATAGGTTGCGGTCATGGAAATTTTTGTGTCTGCAACTGTGCCTTCTGTGGTGTTCATTTCACACCAGAGAACTTGGCGTGCTGTGAGCAGTAAGTAGGCGCATCTTGTGACCCAAACTTGATGGCCTAAATGGCGTCATGTTCGAGGCATGCATGTCATGCGTAAGTTTTAAATGGAGTTGATACAAAATAAAATGAAATAACTGCAGCCAAACTTAGTTTTGCCTCGCACATTGACGAACTACCTAGAGTTGGTGACTGGTCAAGAGTTCAGGGGAGGCTTTTCCCACCTGTTTCTGCTTTAGCAGAGCGAACGGTAGAGAGGAGCCTACCTCCTCTGCTCTCGAGCGTCTGCTCTGCTGAAGTGGAAACAGGTGGGAGGAGCTTCCCCTGAACTCGTAACCTGTCACAGACTATAGCTACTGTACCTTTTCCTGCCTTCAAACAAAATAACGTTTTTTTTTTTTTTGTCACTACATGGCATGTGTACATGTTTATGGCCATGGTGTAATGAGGCACAAATGTAATTTTTGTTTCTAGCAAGGTTGCTTCCTACTCATAGTTTGTACAGTGGCTTCTCTTTTTCGTTTTAGCCTGCACTCGGTGTTGTGTTCCTATTGCATGCACTAAACCTTGACTGTAAAAATGGTTTTCATTCTTAGCATCTCTACTTTCTTGGTGCATTAATTTTCAACAAATCTTTCAATTTTACTCTTGGCTTTTGAAAAATTAGGGAGAGGGGATCATTGAAAGTAGAGATGCCGCAAAGTTTTTGCGAACCTGAGGTTTGAAGATCGATCTAAGGGGTTCAGGAGGTTCGCAAAGTTTTTGAAATGTCAAACTAATCACATTAAACATTCTACGATTCTCGGACTTTCGAATTGTTTTCGAACATCCTATGTTTTAGTGCTATAAAATTCAGTTCATTTTCTAGATTTCGAATTTATTGCGCTAAGAAATTCGACGATTTTCAAACTTTCGAACCTCTTAGGTTCATAAGTTCACCGAACTTCAAACTTCTAAACAAAAGTTCGACAAACTTTGAATGTAGATCACCCCCATAGGTTCAGGGCTACAAATATTAATAACACAACATATCACCAATGTGTGAAGTGGTGAAAGTTGCACTTAGCTGATGGTGCACGAAACGATTTGCTTTTAAAGCGCTGGACTACTTTGGAGTGGCCTCGGCCTCATACCTTCCGGAGCGATAGCTGTTATGGGCTCTTTCCACCACTGGACTATTCTCACCATTGTTGATGCTGTTGTTGTAGTTAGCATTATAGGAAGTCCGTCGTCGATGTTGCCAAATCCTTAAAAAAGAGCGCCCACCACCCGCGAGATCAAACCTGGGTTCGCTGCGTGCAAAGCGGAGGCGTTGCCACTAAATTATGCCACAGATTATTTATTTATTTGAAATATTTGAGCTTTGTTGCAGCATTAACAGTCCGCTTTATACTTGGGCTTTTTTTAGTATCCAGTGCCCACTGCACGCACTCCCTGGAAAAAAGAAACAATAGCTGATAACAAAATGCCATTGGAGCACTGTCAATATCAAGAGCTCATGCCGGGAGACACGCTTTCACACACTCCGGAACAAGAAAGAAACAAAAGTTTCGGGAACAAAATTGTCAGATGTCTATTTTTGTTCCAACTGCTTTTTATCACGCATCCAACGGTGCGTGAATGCAACGTTGATGCCAAACAACTTCGCCGTGACGTGTCGCAGCTATTGCTGTGACTGTACTGTAATTCAACGCAAAACTGCTCTTTTTTTTTGCTTCTGCACAAAACTTTTTTTGCAGGTTGCTTCGGGACAGCTTGTGGGCCAACAGATCTCTGATCTGCTTGAAGTCCAACTGAAGCACTTCGCTGGGGTGTCCTTCATAGCCCCGGTTTCCTCGAGGAAGCAGCTGGTCGGGCAAAGGCATGCGATGCGCTACAGTGAACGCTGGATCCGCGCTTACTTCATTATCATTAGTAACCGACTTCATTTTAAAACGGCAAATATTGACCTGAATTATTCGAAGAAGAAATGTTCCAGACAGTGGAAATATGGTTAACACAAGGACAATCGGTCGTGCCCTGATCAGCTGTATTTTCGGGGGCCGGTGGGTCCGCTAATTTAGTCTGGTTGTGTTCTCCTCAACTGAGACTGAGAGAAAAAGGTTTAGAAGTGCATCTGGGATAACCGGCTTTTGAGCAGGTCATTAATGAGAATACTGGCTAATAAACTCTCATATTGGTTGTCACTACAGGTTACATGCTGAAGTAGAAAGAGTACAGCAAGAGATCAACTTCACGGCTCGCCAGTTGCATCTCTTCACGGCCATCGATGAGGGTTCCAGCGCGGTGAGGCATTCCTTTATGAAAGTGCAATATTTGTAAACTTAGCACTGGCAAAATTTAGGTTGAGGTTGTTTTTGGGGTGCATTCCGAGGAAAACTACCAATAACAAGTGTTTCGAACACAGCCCAATTGGTGAAAAGAGAAGTTTCTCTATGTCCAGTGCAAATCAGAACACTGATGTGACACCCAGTTACAGCTATGGATGGCATGTATAGTTTGAGCAGGCTAAATCTACAGGAAAAATTGCATCTCAACTGCTGCCTAATGACTGTACCTCTCTTCTACATTTAAAGTATGGGTTCACTTTAGTACCAATTTTTTCTCAACTGTTTATTGTTAGGATATACATCATTTTATTCAGTTCTATTTTCTTGTTTACAATATAAGCTATTTGCACCTTTCCCGTAAAATATGTCGAAGCCAATGATTGTCATTTACAGATGGAGAGCAACGAATGACTACCGTAAAATTCCTAGCAAGTGCCCACTCAAAATTGAGAGATAATCATGTAAAACTGGTAGATGGGTATGGTGCTTCTTTGTTTAACAATATGTTAAGATGTCTTTTGTGTATTTTCCGAATGTTACGAAATTGAGGGGTGGGTAGTTCTTGTGAAATGGGCGGTTGGTGGGTATTTTACGGTAGATGTAGGAAACATTGGAGGTCATGCATGCGATTTGTGCTGAGATTTCGGGCATGTGAACATCATGACTAGCGTCTCAGTACAGACTGCTGTTGTGTTGTGGTACAGGTATCCCAGCCCGACAACGCTGTTGCAAAGCAGTGCTCCTGTATGTTTTCATAAACACCATGATGGTTTTAATTTGTGTTTCCCAGCTGGGTAACATGATGAGTGCCCAGCTGAGTAATAGGAAAAATAAACAGTTCAGTTATTGTGGTTTTTCTTTATAGAACAATGTTGGAGTTGCACCGTTGGCACGTAACTTGCTCCTTCTGGCAGTGGAGGCTTCGAGGATGTTGTCAATATTGTCCACGCAGGTAAGCAGCTTGAACTTCAAGATGATAAGATCATGTAATGTGCCACTACAAATGAAGTCTTTATTTTTTGTACAGCATTGCAGAGGAAATGCTGAAGACAAGAAGGCACAAATTGGTCTCTTCCCTTGTCTGGACCATTCCATTAGTGTGTTACAGAACGGCAGCAGTAGCTCGGCGTAATTATGGCCAAGGAGGAAAAACAACTGGGCAACATCTTGTTTCTCAGTGTTCAGTGGGGATTGTGTTAAAGTGATTGTCGTTATTGTTGTATTGTATAGTGTTTACATATTTACTCCTCAATATATCCACTGTAAAGTCCGTAATGTTTGTCAGCCCTTAAATTTTGCAAATTGGGAAATTCACAAACTTTAAATGCATGCAAATATTTCTTAATCTAAAACTTTAAAATACAAAGTAATTAAACAATGGAAAGCACAACATAAAATCTTGTGTTGCGCTGTGATGTCCATAATTTTAGTTCTCTGCACCCCAAGATTTTAGATTATGATGTTTCCTAATCAGCTTGCCTGCATGCTTCTGCTTCTTGCAACGTATTTGCAGCTTTTCAGAAGCTACAAAAAATGTGTATCATAATTTTTTCTATTTTTAATATTGAGTATGTTCCTTCGACGACCCACGACTAATTATATTTGATGTGTGTGTCAACCACAGAGAATGGCATGTGACCACGGAAAAGGGGTGGGTGCGACTCAAACCGGCCAGTTCTTGATCGGCGATTTTCGGGTGGAAAGAAAATTAATTTAGAGCCACAGATTGTGTTCTGGGTAGTTGGGCTCGTGTGTCATGTACAAGTAAAAACCTTGGCAAGCGTAGATACGTTGTCAGTGTCTCTTTAAAGGGACGATGCAACGATTTTCGGACCAAGTCCTATTGTGGGAATTAGTCTGTCACTTATAGAATGTAGGCTACAAAACAATTTTTGCTTACATGTGCTAGCTTGTACTATTTTAAAAACATGTAGGAGATAGAAGTTTGTGGTGCCCTCAGTTCTTACACCATCTTTATGAATTACGTGCGCAGTGTTGGATCACTGGTGTCAAAGAGCTTCCGGTTGTGTTCTCGGACAAGCTCGTGAGCTCCCTTCGGTCTCCAGTGGTCCAGAAGTTTTCATTTCCAATCAGAACACTTGTCAAGCTCTGGTTCGATCACTCCAGAACACCACAACCATTTGGCATCGCTGATGTTGACGGCATGTAGCCGATCTTAATTGAGCAACAAAACATAAGTGTTAACATGTGTTCTTGCCCGTTCATCACAAAAGCAGCGGAGAGATGGTTTTGTTGACTTTGGGTAGATGGCGCCACAGACGTTTCATCCAAGGATTCTTGACAACGATAAAAGGCTTTTGACACATTCATGCAAGACTTATTAAAGTTAGCTTTAGACTGAGCAGACAATTTCACAACTTGCTCATTCACAACAGTGTACTCGCGACGACATCGCGCCGTAGTTCCCGTGGCCGCCACATGCAGCTCTACACCGAGATGTAGTCTGGTTTTTGCTTTGCGATTATAGGGTGGACTTACGATATTCCAGGGGGAAATCAACTTTTTTCTTACTTGTGCTAAGATAAACAAAATAAACGTAACACGCTGCAGATTCTTGCAGCATAAAAATTCTTGCACAGCCCCTTTAAAGGGTACGAGAAAAGAGAGGGAAAATAAATGAAGGCTGTGGAGAAATTGGCAGCCTTTTCCCTATTTTTTTAGTGTTGTTTCTCTGCTGTATGTTTTTGGTTATTTAGAAAGTGCTATTTTTTTTTTCGTTTTGTTAACATGTTCATCCAAGTGCCTTCACATCCAAGTGCCTTCATCTGTTTTGTTAACATGTTCATCCAAGTGCCTTCACATGGCTTCCTGATGGTACCAGTGGCTTTAACTTCCGAAGCCTTATTTGTTGTGTCCCAAAACCACAAGTCTCGAGCATAAATCAGAGCTAATCTGGTTCCAAAGGACACCAGTAAGCACAGAGTTGCGTGAATCAGCGGCGTAATCCTTTCTGGTCATTTGTTGGGCCCTGCTTGGAAACTTCTCAGAAGTTCCATGAAGCTCTGAAGGCACAGGTATGAACAAGCAGCTCTTTGAAGTGCTTTAAGTCGCACCCCAAGTGTTCCAGGACATAGAACTAGTGCCACCTCCAATGCCGTACGCGTGTAGAGGCATTGGAGGTGGTACAAGCATACTGCATGTATATATATACATAAATACTGCATGCATTTATCCGAGGCTCTTTTCTAAGCATGTGAAAGTGCTTGGCTTTTTTTTTTAAAGCTTTTTAGAAATGGATTTTAATGTGTTGAAATGGAAAAGCTCATAGGTGTACATGTTGCATTGGTGTTGCAACAAAATCTCGTTTTGCCTAAATAAACGCATGAGGAAACAAAAAAAGATTTCTGTCGATGACTTGAAATGGTAGTTGACGACACATTACTAACACAATCTCAATTGAACGTGTGCTTGAAGCTGCTTTATACTGGTACAGCCTCAACATTTTTGTTCTTCCAAGGTTGCAGTCACCTTTTTTGTGTCCCCTGCTAATTCTTCTCCAAATTTGTACATGGTGGCTGCTTACTGAAATGACCAAGCACACTAATCAACCACCCTTCTCTTTGCTGCTCCTCTTGCAGATATTCATCCCTTCACGAAAAAGCATTGAGGTGCATAAAGGTTCATTAGAAGTCCATATTTACCGAATTGTCTCAGCCAGTCCAGTCGCCTTATATGACAGAAGCAGTAAAACATATAACCCACCACAAAAAATGACCATTGCTTCAAATCTTTATAGTTTCTGGACATCTTTCACTTTGTCCCCGGCAAGTGAGGAACAAACCCTGCGCAAATAGCAGCACGTTTTGCCTTGACTGTTGACACCAAGCCAGAGTAGTGGCACTAATCAATGTACGGAACAAGCGCAGTGCCATGCGCATGTAGCGTTTGGCGGTTGATATGATTAAAAAGCGATTGCACAGAAAAAATAAAAACTGCAACATAGGTTGTACTTTTAAGGGGGGACACTAGCTGGGGATGTCAACTTTTGAACCGTTCACTCAATCAGCGTGATATCTGCAGCTGGTGTTTGTAGCCATATAGAAGGAGGGCATGCAAAGTTTCAGGCCTGTGAACCAATTTTATAAGGTATTATACCCCCAGAACGAAGTAAAGCATAGCTTTGCATGGAATCTGCTCAATGAATCTATAATTGAGAAATGGTGTTGATAACCACTTATCTTTCTGGTGAAATGCATGCTAGAATACCTGTCGCCAGTTACCATGAAAAGAAATTTCAGAAATTATGCGTTTTTCAAGCAAAATATTTATGAAAAAACTTTTTTTCCCCGCATTTATTAAGTTTTAAAAATTACAATTTTTTATAAGAAAGGAACATGAAAATGCAAAATCTAAGTTCATAGTAATCGGCTTCATAAAATTTTGTCATATAAGCTGCAAATATTAAGTCTATCGATAGTTTCATACTGAAACGATAGTTTTATTAAAGGGCAACTCCACTTAATTCCGAAGATTTCGGGATAATGATTGATTTCGAATTGAAAAGCCCTAGTAAAACACACTACGTCGTTTGCTTCGGGAAAAATGGGATATATATTTTTAAATCTGATTTTAAACACGAGCAGAAATCGAAACCAAAACTTCGGCTCCGCCCGGCAACATTGGCCTCGGGTCGCCAAGTACATGGCCATCACGTGGTACGAGATGTCACGTGATCCTCGGCCCAACGACGGGCGGGATTGGGGCGGGCGTGTGGCAGGCGCGAGTGTCGTCTGCACCGCACTCTTCGCCACGTTTTGGTGTCTACGGCATTCGACGACGTCTGCACAACTGCGGCATAAGTGTGCGCGCACGTGGTGTCCGTAGTGTGGACGAAACTCCGAGAGACAATAATCACAATCGGTGAGACGACGACGGCGGTTGTGACGCGGAAGACGGCGGTAACAGCGGGACCACGGCGGGCGGCCGGACGGCTCCCAAGACACGCGCTGCGCAGGCGCGTTACGCCAATCACGTGGACAATGCTGAGCGCCGAGAGGCAACGTTGCTGACGTCATGCGCTACGCTCGCCCGGAGAAATGAAAACAAGCAAAAGGGGGCCATGTAGATGCCGTTTAGCTCAATGTTGGCTCCGCCCATGCCGTAGCCTTGACTGCGCTGTTGGTTTGCGCCTGAATTCACCCGCTCAAGTCAGCCGATTTCGGCAGCTTGGCGAGTTGCAAAGTTTGCCGGACTGTTTAAGAAACATTTAGACAGAACTGCGTCGTAAGATTTCACGTGTGGTCTTCCTAGGCGATACTGAAGAGGACTACACTGTTTTTTCAAAACCAAAAATGAAGCGGAGTTGCCCTTTAAGGTGCAATTTGCTGCCAAAAAGCTGAACTGAGAAAAGTGCGTTCAAAGTGCTCCAACCTCTACCTTTTTTTGAGCATTGGTAGACCGAAAATAATTTATAAAAAAATAACTATCCAGTGTAAACTAATAAAACTTTCTGGGAATACTCTCTAGAGGTTGGTGGATGTAAACTTGGCTTTTTTCAAACTCAACATTTTTTGCAGAAATTGTTTTTTCTGGGTAGTGTAAAAGGGATGGTGAACTGAAATTTGGATTTCAAAAAAACAATGCTGGAGATGTAGGCGGGACGCTACAATCCCTACAACACTACTAGTAAGGCGATATCTCAAATGGACGGCCGCATTTTTTGTAAAAAGAAGTCGAGATTGAACCAGGCCGACGAGGCGCGTGATTGTCAAGATACCTAGTTTCCTCCTCTCTTCGCTTCGCTCCCTCAAGGCCGCGAGGTGGAGAAGACGCGAGGCCGTTCCCTCTTCTCGGAGAAACATGACGTCAACATTCCTGCCAAATGCGCCTCTTTTTTGAAAAATACGGTCATCCGTTCGAGATATCGCGGTATGAGCGATGTTTTGGTGTTTGTAGCATCCCCGTTGCACGCTTTTGCCACGTGTTTTGGGGAATCCAGGTTTCGGTTCAGCATCCCTTTAAGCTGTTAGCATGCAAGTATTCAATCATAAGTACAAGCGTGCTCATAGAAATAATTACCGTAAAATACCGAGCATTCGACAATAAGCGCCTACCCCTCAATTTTGCAGCATTCGGAAAATACACAAAGAACATATCTTTACATATTGTTGACCTATGAAGCACCCATCACCCAGTTTTACAAGATTATCTCCAAATTTTGAGTGAGAGCTTGCTCAGGATTTTACAGCAGGTTCCTTTTTTTCATTAAATCTACACGTGGCTATATTTCGTCACGACTTGCGAGAATCAAGTTGGCGCAATGCGAACTTGACAGTCAAATTGTGGCAAGATATAACTCCCCCACCCCCTCCCCCTCCCACAGAATGATCTTGACAAGGTACAACAGTGGTGCAGCCCCTTTTCACCGCCGCCACAACCCCCATGTCTTCTCCTATACTATCTCCAGTGTTGGGGAACATACATCTAAAAGGTACTTCAAGTAAAGTACAAAGTAAATGAGAGGTGATGTATTTCAAGTAAAGTAGGTAGTAAGTATACTGGGTGCAATGTACTTGAAATAAAGTACTACAGTAAAACCTCGTTATAACAAAGTTGAAGGAGCGGTCGTAGTTATTTCGTTATAACCATTAGTTTGTTATAGCCAATGTCCATTTCTCCATACTATTAGCAAGCAAGGGGAATTATGATTGCTTTGTTATATCCATTAGTTTGTTATATCCCATTTTGTTATAACGAGGTTTTACTGTATAAATACAATGTACAGTCAGCACGGAATGAAACCCGAACGCCGGAACGCGTGGCCATCGATACAGGCTGCTCCACCTGGAGGGCCCCTGAGAACTAATGAAAATGCACCTGGGTGCGAGGGTGTGGGTCCTACTAAGATGTCCTCAACCCTCGTGCTGACTGTCTGGGACTTCCGCGTTTCGCCGGTGGCGCGTCGTAAGCGCCGTCACTCGGGGTACTTTTCTGTCGCCGCACTGTCGCCCGGTCGACACCGGGCGGCCACTCATTCATTCATTCAGAGTTTTATTGTGTTTCCCAAACAGCTTTAGGGGTCTTTTTAGGGTTACACTTCACATTACAAAACAGCACTGAACTAAACAAACTACATGGCAATCCTAACCACAATACTATTCTTGAACTTTTTAAAAGGTATAAAAAAGTCCACGTGAGGGTTAAAATGCTTGTTGTACGTGAGCATCATCCGTGTCAGCGGGGGACTGGACTCTAGATAAGAGGGGTAAAAAAAGGGAGTAGACCTATTTTGTCGCTGGGGGACATGAATTGAGATTCTACTCAATAATATTGGGGAATCAGAAGCAGAATTAAACAACTTATATAAAAACACCATGTCGCGGACTAGTCGCCTAGTTGAAAGAGGCAAAAAACCAAGAGTGCCCAAAAGAAGCACATAATGATAAAAAAACACTCCGTCCAATGTGGCGATCGTAGACAATTTTCACAAGTCGTCTCTGTATGCACTCCAACCTGAGCGCCTGACTAACACCCTAAGAATTCCATTCCGTAGAACAAACGTTGAACCGTGATAGAACCAAAGCCCAAAAAAAGGTTCAGTATACAGTTGTAATTTCGGAAGTCACGGGTAATGCGTGCAATTATCCCCAGGATTCGCAAAGAATCATTATTAACCTATGAAGCACGATAGACCCTGCTCAGACAGGGCGATGAATGCATTCCACTCCGTAATTGATATGCCTGGCGTATCGGTGGTTACCAAAGAGAGCGTCAGCGAGCAATGGACCTTTTCCACATACCGACGGCACCAGGCAGTGGCTGCACGAACTAAAAATCGAGGAAGTGACCTACCTGCGCTACCAATCGATAATGGGAGCTACGCTACCAGTTTCTTCGCTCTCTGAGCAGCGGCGCCTGCCCAACGCGACTTTAAAGAGGGGCATCCGTGGCGTCCACCCAAACGTCGTGTTTTCCTTTCCGTCGACGTTCTTTTTTTGTGGAACACAATTATATATATGCTGCAGTTACGTGTTCTACTCGCTGATATACAGCCTCCTTCCGAATTTCTTCGATTTTTCGTTCCGACTTCCGCCGCTTGGCATCGGGCGCTCGCGCGTGCGCAGAACGCTTCTCAGAAAAGGTCCATTCTTCGCGTTCTAAGAATCGACTGATAGCCTCGCACTAAAACAACTGCATTGCTCCTAAAAACCGAGGCCTCCGCGTCAGTCTGTTGCAGCATTTTTTTGTTCATAAAGAGTATGGTCGTGCGAATAAACGAATTTTATTTCGCGTTTATGACGTTTCACTATTTCTCAGAAACCGCGCGTGGCACGTTGTTCACCGGAGCCCCAGCGTGGTTCCGGTGACACGTCATCAAGCACTACGGGTCTCATGTTTCAACTTTCATTTTGCCCTTG